GACTCCATGTGTTGAGATCTTCACCCTCTGGCTGGTTCCATTTTGTTCTTATGCACTGCTAGGCCCTGTTCTCACTACAAAAATAACCAGTGATGTCAGTGGGAACAGGCATGCACACCCACCATACCAGGTCCAGACCCAGCTCATCATTTTTGAATTAGCTGTGTCTGTTGCCCAAGGGCCATCTGTATTGATTTGTCATTGGCTCTTTATTACTTTCTCTAATCCACAGGATTTCTTCAAAAAGTTCTTATATGAGCCCTTGCCAGTCGAGTCTCACCTGGATCACTGTATGCATGACCACTTTAATGCTGAAATTGTCACCAAGACCATTGAGAACAAGCAGGATGCTGTAGACTACCTCACCTGGACCTTTCTGTACCGCCGCATGACACAGAACCCCAATTATTACAACCTGCAGGGTCAGTGGTCTTGGGAGCCCATGTTTTCCTTTTGTGGTTTGCACCACCCTTAATGGCCATCTCCCTATAACTGTCTACTTAACTATCACCTTCACAGGCATCTCTCATCGTCACCTTTCTGACCACTTGTCCGAGCTTGTGGAGCAGACCTTGAGTGACCTGGAGCAGTCCAAGTGCATTAGCATTGAGGATGAGATGGACGTGGCACCTCTGAACTTGGGCATGATTGCTGCTTACTATTATATCAACTATACCACCATTGGTGAGCAGCCAGCCAGGGCTTGTGTCTGTGTCTGAGTCTGTGGGGACTCCTAGACTCTTATGCAGAGTCTGCAGCCCCCCAGGTTGAGAGATGATTGGGCTTCCAGTGCCCAATGTGTTCCCCAGAGGGATGCACTGCGGGGCAGACCATGGGGACCTCAGGCATTAACTCTCCTTCCTGTGCCTTCAGAGCTCTTCAGCATGTCCCTGAATGCCAAGACCAAGGTGCGGGGACTCATCGAGATCATCTCCAATGCGGCAGAGTATGAGAACATTCCCATCCGGCACCACGAGGACAACCTCCTCCGGCAGGTGAGGACATCTAGGCTTTGGGAGAATGTCCCTAGAGTTGAAATTTGGCCTGTGTGCCCAGAGCACATGGTGTCCCTGGCAGACACAGGAAAATCCTAACACCCATACACATCTCTACTGTACCACACCCATCTCCCCACCCACACCTTTCAAGTTTTAAAGGGTTGTGAGCTTGGGATGGGTGCTGCTTTGGGCCTGAGAGCTTGTCCCCAGCAGGGTCACCTGTTCATCACCAGTTATTTTTCTTCCACTCTCCAGTTGGCTCAGAAGGTCCCACATAAGCTGAATAACCCGAAGTTCAATGACCCACACGTCAAGACCAACCTGCTTCTGCAGGCTCACTTGTCCCGCATGCAACTGAGTGCTGAGCTGCAGTCAGATACAGAGGAAATCCTTAGCAAGGTATAGTGTGGGTACAGCTGGGAATGGGCTGGAGGGGCTGGTGTGGTATGTGAAGTAGTGGCTCCAGCCACTTGCTCATGCACGCCGATCCCTCTTCAGGCAATCCGGCTCATCCAGGCCTGTGTGGATGTCCTCTCCAGCAATGGGTGGCTCAGCCCTGCTCTGGCAGCCATGGAACTAGCCCAGATGGTCACCCAAGCCATGTGGTCCAAGGACTCGTACCTGAAACAGCTGCCACACTTCACCTCAGAGCACATCAAACGTTGCACAGACAAGGTGAGCTGGGCCTGGACCCAGAGTGTTAGGTGGCTGAGCCTGAGAGCCAAGTGTCCTGGCCTGGTGGCAGGTTGTGGAAAGGGAGTCAGTAGGGAAGACTTCTGGTTCTGGTTCCTGTGAAAGTGTGAGCTATTGAGACCTTAGAGAGCCTGACAACTGTGGGCTGTGTTCTTCTGAAGCTGTGTCTTTAGATGATCTGATAGTGTAGGAAGGTAAATTGGCTGTTTGGAGCCAGTTTCATTTGCTATTCATACATGTTCTTTTTCCCTGACGTGAATACCCACTGCAGGGGGTGGAGAGTGTGTTTGACATTATGGAGATGGAGGATGAAGAGCGAAACGCGTTGCTCCAGCTGTCTGACAGCCAGATGGCCGACGTGGCCCGCTTCTGTAACCGCTACCCTAACATCGAGCTGTCTTATGAAGTAGTGGATAAGGACAGCATCCGCAGGTGAGCCAGAGACCCGGTGCCCTGTCCAGGGTCCCATCTGGGCCCAGCATGCCAGCGCACTCTGGGACACCACTGCCACAGCACTAATGTACTATGCTATTTTTCTCCCCCAGTGGCGGGCCAGTTGTGGTGCTGGTGCAGCTGGAGCGAGAGGAGGAAGTCACGGGCCCTGTGATTGCACCTCTCTTTCCACAGGTATGTCCTGGTAGCTGGCTTTGCAGGTGCCCACCGGGAGCCTATCCACTGGCTGGAGTCCAGAGTGCAAGGGCACACTGTCACTGGGAGGGAAATTTAGCATAACAGTGAAGTCACAAGGTTGAGCATTAATCTTGGGGCCATGGGTGACTTTTGCTTTTAGTTCAGAACAGTTTAGAGGACTGATTATTGTGAAAAGCATCGTTGTGCAGTATAGTCAGTCTCTGTAACTGGTAAGGTACATTTGTCTTTCAACGGCTGCAGGACAGCTGCGCTTCTCTAATTGGTGTTACTTCTACTCTCTCACTGCCACTCACTCTCTCTGTGTTTCTTTGGTTCTTTACTACCAGAAAGAAAGTCTGATTCCTTATATGGGAGACTATGAAGATGGAAAGCAGAAACCAGAGACACACTGTAGTGTTGAATTTTACAAACTAGTTGTTTAAAAGGCTTTGAGAAAAGAGTGCCTTAAACTGAAACATTTGGCCTTCCGACAGTGGACTGGCCAGCAACAGGATTTCTTCAATACACGTGTGGCCTTTTTTGGACTCTCTGCCAGCAGGCTCTTCTCCATTTGGCATGTATGCCTTTTACTTAAAAGGGTCTCTGAGGAACTCAAAGCTCCCAGGCCTGCAGAGACTAGATCTCTAATAATGGGATCAGGGGTTCATTGACAAGCACTAATTGGGGGAAGGTGCTGTGGAATAAGGAAAAGGAAATGAGCCAGAACCAACACAAGTTCATCAACTACCTAACTACTGAGTTCATTTGAGATAGCTTTCAACAGTTTGAAAACCTTAATTCTATCAATTGTATGTCAGGAACAAGTTTCAGAAAGCTAATAGCTTTCTGTATAGTTCTTTTCCTATTTTTAAAACTATGGTCTCATGTGGCCATCAAGTTTTACATGCTGAAGTTCTTGGCTTTTGGTCATTGCAGAAACGTGAAGAGGGCTGGTGGGTGGTGATCGGAGATGCCAAGTCCAATAGCCTCATCTCCATCAAGAGGCTGACCCTGCAGCAGAAGGCCAAGGTGAGTTTGTCTACAGGCCCAGCATTTGTTTGTTCACAGGGTGAGAACTCTTCCCCCGTGTCCGTGCTGACCCTGATTTCTGCCTGCTTTCTCTAGGTGAAGCTTGACTTCGTGGCCCCAGCCACTGGTGCCCACAACTACACTCTGTACTTCATGAGTGACGCTTACATGGGATGTGACCAGGAATACAAATTCAGCGTGGACGTAAAGGAGGCTGAGACAGACAGCGACTCAGACTGAGTCCAGACACATTGCCCAGAGGAGAGGCTTGGCCCTGAATGAGGAGCGTGCACAATTGTATTGGGGTCTCAATCGTGGAGACCTGGTCTGTGGACATGTGGTCCGGCCAGTCTGTAGGAGTTATCCCAGCCCGCCTCCATTACTTTTCCCCTTTGGTACATCCTGCCATCCAAACTTTGGATTCCGCGTCTGCAGGTGTTATGTAGTTGTCAGGCTGTGTGTACAGCATTTTTAGGGATGTTTTTTGTAGTTCCTTGTGAGTCAGACATTCTAATAAAATAACTTGGAGAAACTATTTGTCTCTGCAATGATTCCAAATTGTTTCCTTTCTCTAACCTAAAGGCCTTGGCCAAGATTTGTTTAGCCATTGAACTTGCTTACAATGAATATTTATAGAGGATAAGGCAGCTTTTTAATTAGGCTGTCACCTACAGCCATTTCAGTCAGTGTGGAGGAAGAGACAGGCCTTAGTTACCTTCTGTTTAGCCAGTTTTATACCCCTGGTTCACCACCTGCTACCCAGACATAGCTCTACTGCAGGAACAAACACTGAATTTTAGTGGATAGAGGTTAGAGGTCTGAAGATGTGCAGCATCCCCTCCCATCAAGGGTTTTTTTTTAATGTAGCGGCTGGTGTGGCCTAGTCTTGGCAGACCCACAAATTTTCCTCTTCAAATTCTTGCTTTCTATTGTTCTTTAGGAATAAACACACATAAAATTGTAAGGTGATTCTCAAGGATATTTTTCCCAGGTCAGCAGTTTTCAAATGGTTTGGTTTTAGGGACCACTTTATACTACAAAAAATTAACCCCAAAAGCTTTTATTATCTAGGTTATACCCATTAATAGTTACTACACTAAAAATTAAAATTTAATGCATTTAAAAATAATGGTTAACTTTCAAAGATGAAAAATAACTTTGAAAACATATCCAGAGAGATGAATGGCATTTTACATTTTTACGAATCTCTTCAATATTTGGTTTAATAGAAGACAGTTGAATTCTCATATCCGTTTTCTACAACCTTGTATAGAGCTGAAGTAAAATGGAATAAAGCTGACTTTACACAGATATGAAGTTGGGAAAGGGAGTTTTTAAATAGCCTCCTCAGGTAATTGTGGCTCTTTGACACTACATGGAGACTCCACATGTGGTAGTTTATCTTAAGGGCAATGTGGAGTCAAACCTTATTAATGAGCTTTTTGTACTGTTACCATAAAACCCACTGATCTTATACTTTGAATAAGCGTCTACCCATGTACGATTTGTAACATGCATTAGTCATCTGGAGAACACTGGTTCACTGAATTATGTATACCTTCCAAATGACACATTTCATAATCACATTTTTACACCACCAATCTCATCAGAAAAGTACTGGGAAGACACCAAGCTCATTGTGGCAATACAGGTTTTCAAAAATTCTAATTTTTGCTTGAAAGCTTTATTTTATCATTGGCAACACTATCAGTTTCCCTTTTAGTGAAAGGCTTGTTCCATTCATTTCCCAGAAAATGTCTGCCAAACAGCCAAGTCTACCATTTGTCAGTTCTTTCAAGTAGAAATGGTATACCATGAGGAACACAGTTCAGCTTACAACTCAATTACACAACTGTTTCAAGACAGCAATACTGCAGTGTGCTTTAAGCAGAAGTGCTCTATGCATGCTTCCTATTGTCAGAGTATTAGCAGTGTTCTCAAAGTCAAGACTTAGTACAATTAATTTTTACTGGTTCTATCAAGGACATTTCTAAAAAAGCTGGCAATGTTTTTACCAAGGGAACAAGGCAGTGAAGACTACTAGTATTTAGTGCCACTGCCTTGATTCCTGCCAAGGTGCCAACTGACCTCTCAGATTCCCCTAAAAGGCTCTTGGGGCTTCTGGGCTCTACAGACTGCACTTTAACCACATTCGGATGTCTTCAAAATCTAAGGCCATGATCTCTGTGGTGTAAAAAACTAAGTGAAGCTAAATCTTTGGGGGCAGTCAAGTTGAAATGCATTTGTAAGTGACTCACGAGAACTTGAGGGAGACTGAAGAACTGATTGCCTTAAGGCAGTGAGGCTCTACCTTCTCTCATTACTGCTCCCCTATGGGGCCTTACAAGACATCTTTTTCCTACTTGCCCCTACAATAAAAACTTAATACTACATACTGTGGATTGTCATACTATAGTCCTTTAGAGGGCCACAAACTATTGTCTCTTAAAATTTTGTCCCCCACCCAAGAACCAATTTTTAGCCCCACTGAAAATGTATGGCCTATGGCCAATAATGATTTTTTAGAGTTCATGTCCCCCACTTATTTTTCAGCATTCCCTGGTTACCATCATAGCACAGAAGATACATGAGGATTTCTAAGGGAAAGCAGAGGTATCTCTTAACTCTAAAAAAGCCTATGTTAAAAAATTATCAACATTAATTGATTCATGTCTTAAATGCAACGAATGACCCAGAAATTGGGAAGGCAAAACCTATTTCAGAAAAAGACTCACCATGGAATTCTTTATATTGTGAATGTCCTTATAACACAAAATTGGACTTGGGACTCAGGTTATTTTTATCAAGTTTACAATTTCAGAAAGGTCTGAGATACAGCCCTCCTACACATCGATACAGTGGTTATAAGTAATATATTCACCTCCCAAAATCTTAACAGAGTGCCCTAAAGCAAGCAAAATCTGTGGCACACCTACAATGTACTGATGTTCTGTGGATCTTTACCAAGGACCCCACGTCAAAACGGGGGAAAGAGTGAGAAGTTCTGTGGCTCTGCATGTCTACCCAAGTCAATGGAAGAGAGCCAAGTTAAAGGCCAACCCAACAATGCTCAAGTCCACTCGGGGGCTAGGAAAGTCTTAATGACATTTTTTTGGGAACCATGCTTCTGTCCAAGGTCGAGATGGTTCACAGGCCTTCAGGCTGCTGGTACTTCCAGAAGGCCACCTCCCCATCATCACTGCAGGAGGCCAGGAGCCCCCGCTCCTTGGGGCTCCAGGCTACACAGTTGACGTCCTGGGAATGAGCCTGAGGCAAGTGGGCTGTCAGGGAGAAGGTGGGCTGCTGCAGATCTGAGCTGGGATCTTCCTCAAACACCCGGATGGCATCATCCCCACAAGCTGTAGCTAGGGCCCCTGTCAACTGACACCTGGGAAGAACATGTACATCAGTGGGGACGCAGGTGGCTCCTTCCTCCCCAACCTCTCAGAGATTGGTTCTACGATCTCTGGCCTGTTCTCCTCCCAAACATCAGGCCTTAGCTAGAAGTCTCTTATTAAAGAGCTTCCCTAACATCTAGTCACAAACATCCCGTTAAATCTTTTAAGTACTGCTCTCTGGGTTTTTCCCCAACAACCTAACTCTGACCCGCAATTTCTCACTAGCATAAGCAGTTCCCTTTGTCAGGTACTTATAACCATTTTTTTGAATAGTGATATAATAGGCCATTGAATTTTACCACACTTCAGTCTATTTTTGTTATTCCTAAATTTCTGCCAACCTAAATAAAGCTTAGACGCACATCAACTTTTTTGATGCGCACAGTACGGTCATCACTGCAAGATGCCAAGCGCTGGCCACTGGGGTCATCTATTTCCTAGGAATAGATTCTAGGGCCAGAACTGCCCTAACTCTCCTGTATGAACTGTATGGCTCTTCTAGCCTCCAAAGGAGTAGTCAGTGTTACCAACCCAAAAAATCCCAGCCAGGAATCCAGTTTCAGTAATAAATATTTCTGGATGGTATGATGCTGTGTTATCTACACCCGACCTCACAAAGGCTGGTGCTGTCTTCACAGCCTGGGATCTTAATGTGGGTGCACGCCTTGATCTAAGTCTGTTTCCTGCTCTTCTATGAACCCTGGTGCTGGCCAGCTGTAGAGCAACATGACAGATGTCTGGACTGATCTCAAGAAATGAGGTAGCTGTTCTCTATTCCCTTTACTTCCAAAGGTGGTAAAGAGCAGCACAGGGTCTTGACTTCCATAAGACCTCCCCAAAGTGGGGTGGGGTGGGGTAGGGTGGGGTAGGGTAGGGGTGGAAGAGATGGAGGTCTTACCAAGCGATGTCGTAAATGGTCCTGGAGTGGAAGCCTGACAAAGTGCAGATACACTTCCAGCTGGGGTCAGAGCCGCTGCATGCCATCCCTGCACAACAGACTTCTCTTGAACCTAAGACACGACTTGTCTCCTAGGCACCTCAGGGGTAACTGCCTCACTGCAGAGGAGATCCTATTTGCCTTCCCTCATCCCCATCTTCAATCATGAGTCCTCATCTTCATTCTTCTGTCCCTATCCTCACTGATCTGTCTTACAGGCTGGTATTTTAACTGTAGAATTTTGAGGAGGAAATATCCTTTCCTTTAAAAAACCTTTTGCTGCAGACAATGTTTGACTAGTTAGCCTAACTTTTTTTTTTTTTTTTGAGAGGGCATCTCTCATATTTATTGATCAAATGGTTGTTAACAACAATAAAATTCTGTATAGGGGACTCAATGCACAATCATTAATCAACCCCAAGCCTAATTCTCAACAGTCTCCAATCTTCTGAAGCATAACGAACAAGTTCTTACATGGTGAACAAGTTCTTACATAGTGAATAAGTTCTTACACAGTGAACAGCGCAAGGGCAGTCATATCACAGAAACTTTCGGTTTCGATCATGCATCATGAACTATAAACAATCAAGTCAGATATGATTATTCATTTGATTTTTATACTTGATTTATATGTGAATCCCACATTTCTCCTAGTTAGCCTAACTTTTAAGGCCACCCACCAGCCAGCCCAATCCATCTTATTGCTCCTAAAACCTTTTACACTCGGTGTTCCATTTAGAAGAATCATGTATATGGTGTTAAGTCTAAGCTTTTCCATTTTCAGTGCCTTTGCTCATGCTGTTGTTTCACCCAGAATTCTCTTCCTGTGGTAACTTCTTCTATGTTAATATCCTATACACACTTTTAGGTGTGGATAAAATGGCCTTTCTTCCACATAGCTTTCCCTGATTCTTCCAGCATTCTCTCTGGAACCCTCTCGTGGCATATTTCCCTTTCTATCTCAATTTGCTAAGATTCATCTGTGTGTCTTAGGCCCTTAGTAGACAGTAAACTTCCTGAGAGCCAAGTCTCCTGGCCCCTCACCTTGCTCGTTGCCTGGCAGATACTGATGCCAGATGCGCACAGTACGGTCATCACTGCAAGATGCCAGGCGCTGGCCACTGGGGTCAAATGCCAAGCTCCACACAGTGGATTCATGGCCCTCAAGGGTGGCACAGCATACCCAGTCATCCTCTTCCTCCCGGTAAAGCTTCACTGTGTCGTCATAGCTGGCAGAGGCCAGCAGCTGGGGAGTGAGGAAAACAACACTTGTTCGTATGACCCAGGAAGTGCCTATGGTTCCAATACCTCTCCCTGCTAGGATAGTACAATCCTAGGGCTCTGTGTTCATAAAGGCACTAATGTCTCTCAGTCATAGACAGAGATTTCTGTACAAACCATGTTAAAGCTGAAGAACAGAGAAAGGCAAGGCACAACCCTCCACACCAGAATCCCTTCTCACCAAGACAGAATGCTTCTTACCTCCTGGCTCGGGTGCCAAACCACATGCTTGACATCCTGTGTATGGGAGTTGAGGACACTGACACATTCATATTCATCTTCTTCATCAACTGTGGGAGGAAAAAAAGGAGCCCAGGAGCTGACCCTGTCAGGACACAGAGGGGGATGTCTGTCCAGTGGTGGCTCCTAACTGCACCTTAGAAGGACCTGGACTCACCTTCCCAGACCCACACACTCTTATCTCGGCTGCAGGTGGCAAGTAGGTTGCCAGATGGGGCCCAGGCCACTGACTTAACCTCATTTTCATGGCCCTCCAGGGTGGTTACACACTGAAAAGGGAAGAGGAACAGGGATCAGCAGCAGCTAAGACCCTGGGATCCTTTTCATGAGTACAACCCTACTAGTCCAGGTTGAACCAGCCCCTGTGGAGTAAACAGGTAACAATCTTGATCCCATCCAGCCTGGTTACCTCAAAGTCATCCTGGTTCTTCTTCCAAATGCAAGTGGTAGCATCAAAGCTGGCAGAGGCCAGGTAATTGCCACAGGGAGACCAGGCCACCTTCCTCACAGTGCGCTGGTGGCCTTCAGAAAGGACAGATTTGCAGACCCAGCTGTCACCTAGAAGCAAAGGACAGGCCAGGCTCTGGAGCTGGGTGCACAAGAGGGTGCAGTAGCACATCAATGCCATTGGATAATGGGGGCTAGCCAAGCTGTCGACAAAGCTCAATGGTTATGTAACAACATGCTTTTAGAAAGATGTAACTGACTACTTCCCCTGGAGACATCCTTCCAAAACAAATCTGAGGAGTCACTCTCCCGGTTTAAAACTGTCAAGGGCTCCCAAATGCCCTCAGGATAAAATTTTCAACCTTATTGTGTGGCAAATCACCCTCCCTTCTTTCATTTTCCTGCCTCAGCAACTCTCAATTCCAACAGTTCTAGCCTGTCCGTTGACGTTTTTGCCTCTCGTACCTGCCAACTCCTTTCTACCAACTCCTTTACCAAAAAGTCTCTCAGAGTGGATACCTTCCAACTGGAAGAAGCCCTCTCCCACCTCTCCCCTGGCCCTTAACTCTGTTCGGGGTCGGCCTGCCGCGAAGGCTGCGCACCTCCCCGAGCCTGGCACCCCCACTACGCGCACACGGAACCCTCGGCGGCACGAGCCTTACCCTCCGCGCCCCAGATGCGGACTCTACGGTCACCACCGCAAGAGGCCAGCAGGGTTCCCGCGGGGTTCCAGGCAAGGAACCAGCAGCGGGAGTCCGGGTGTGCAGGGACACGGCCCAGCAGCACCAGCGAGTCCTTCATGGCGGGTAGGAGGAGGAGGTGGGGAGAGTCAGCCGCGCCGACTACAGGTCCCACGGTGCACGTTCCCTCAACCTCCAGGCCGGCCTCCCGCCGTCGTCGGGTCCGACCGCATCCGCCCGAAGGCCCAAGAAATCCTGGGAACTGAAGCGTCCGCGACTGCAGCCGCGCTGCCCTCTGGGAGTTGTAGTCGGTCTACCACCTCCGCCCCACCCCCCAGTGGAAAGCATCGCGGGACCGCTTCGAACTACCAGTCCCGTGAGGCCCAGCGCAAGGAGCCGGTGGCGCGCCCAAGCTGTGACGTAAGCGGAGGCCAGAGCGCGGAGCCGGAGGAGGCGGAGACAGAGGTGTAGGAAGCCGGAAGTGGATCGACCCCGGGTCGCTCCGGGCGTTGCGGATTTGGGGGGCTGGGGCAGCTGAAGAGCCCGTAACGGGACGGAGCGGCGTCATCCCGGCCCCGAGGCCTGCTGACTGGTGAGGGACGGGTCGGTGTGGGGAGGGCCTTTTCCGGACACAGGTCGCACCCCAGAGCGGATCCCGAGTTCCGAAACCCCGCGGCCCAGCTTGTTTCTCCGCCCTTTGGCACTCTGGCTGAGACCCCAGGTCCGGGTCTCTACCACCAGCAGCCGATAACTCCGCCCACCACACCTCCCTGCTCCGGTCTGCCTCTCTTCCAGCTGGCCCCCAGCCCTCTGCGGGTCCTCATCCCGCACCTCCGCAGCTCCATTCTGGGGACCCCGTCCCCGCCCCCCGAATCCCTGCAGCCCTCCAGTCTCCGCTCGGCCTCAGGTCCCAACCCCCATTCTCCGGTTGGGAGATAATAGCCCTGCGCCGGCCCCACCTGCCGCAAACCCAGCGCATTGCTCTCCTCCTCGGGACAGGCAGGCTGTGCGCCCCGCGGAGGTCGGCGGCGACCAGCAGCGACCGCGGAGCGACGGCGGGCGTCGCCGGGCATGTACGCCCCCGGAGGCGCAGGGCTGCCCGGCGGGCGCCGGCGGAGGAGCCCGGGAGGCAGCGCTCTGCCCAAGCAGCCGGAGCGTAGCCTGGCCTCGGCCCTGCCTGGAGCCCTGTCCATCACGGCTCTGTGCACTGCGCTCGCCGAGCCTGCCTGGCTGCACATCCACGGTGGCACCTGTTCCCGCCAGGAGCTGGGGGTCTCCGACGTGCTGGGCTACGTGCACCCGGACCTGCTGAAAGGTGAGGGCGCTGCGCGCCGGCCCTCTTCTTTCTGGGTGACTGGGCTTCCTCGGCGGGGAGCAAAATGGGGTTCGAGCTGGAACTGAGATAGCCAGGGGCAGGCACTTGGTTGAAGCAGACAGCCCTCTTCCTGCCTGGTGTACATGCCCACCAGGTGGCTCTGTTTGGGGGTCCGGCCCCTCGTTAATTCCGATGTTAATTCAGCCAAGTACCTACTCCCTCAATGCTAATCTGAACTGCTACTTTTTTAAGATTCTGCCCAAGGAAGGGCGCTGTGTATCGAGAAAAGGGTGCTAGGCATCACAATTAGCTGTCCCCTTCTAATCAGTGGCAGCCTCATTGATGGAGAAAAAGGAACTTTCTATATGCCTAGATTTTAAAAGATATTTTTGAGCTGTACAAATTGAATTTTTATTAGAGTAAAAGGGAGTCTGTGGCATTTTTGATAACCACTAGTCAATTCTATTGCTGTCCTCAGTAAAACTATTGGAATTTGGCTCTTGGAACCTTTACAAGTGTTTCTGACTGAGGTAGGTTGCTTTGTTCATCATCATGCTTCCCAGCAAGGTGGGCAGAGGAAAGGGAAAAGTTCTCTTTACTGGACACAGGGAAAGCCAAGACCTATATGGGGACCTGGCTCAGTGAGCCCTGTAAGCTCCTCTTGCCCAGTGGTGTCCAGTATTGAGGGAAGGGTTGTGTGGTATGAGGGCAGGACTGCATTGTCTTACTTTTACCTAAAGCCAGTCAGTGGACCCCAAACAACCCTTAGTAACAGCACATTTTATTAGCCCCAAGGTCTTCTGAGCTGTTCTTGAAGGGTGCCACTCCCCCGCTGTGATGCATTCCAGATGATTACTACCCCATATAACAGAAGCCCTTCCTGTTAAATATTTTCACATTGCCTCTTTAAAGATTCAGGCACTGGGATTTGGTGAAAAGGTCAAGTTCTTCCCTGTGGGATGATATACAACTTCTGCAGGCCCAGGCTAAAAGCTCTATCCTTGTGGTTTAATATTGTCTTTCCCTGAGAGTTCTGTTTGCATTTCTCTTGAGTTTTTGAGGCTTTAGGATGATTTTGTAGAGAACAGGATGGGAGCTTCTGGTTTGTTTCCAGATTTGACCACGATGATAGCCTTTGTTGGGCTGGCTATATAAGACCAAAGTCATACACAACATGATGGAGGCCTTGTGACATGCGGCTTTTTCTCTAGGGAGTAGCTGATAGCAGAAAGGCCACCAAGCTTGAGTTGAGCCTCGATGGCTTTTCCCTCAGCTCATTCCCCTGCACTTACCTTCTTTGAAGCACAGCTACCACCTTTCCACCACTTCATCTAGACCTTTGTGGTGGATCCCCTGGTGTTGCCTTGTTTAGGGAGCTTGGTGTCACTTACAAACTGGAAGAGAGCTCATAATGCTTCTCTCTTTCAGATCATCCCTGGGGAGGCTCAAAAAATTTGTGTGATGGAGGAAGAGGCAGTCTGACCCCTTATTTCAGTGGGTCAAGAAGCTATGTCTTAGAGAAGTGAAGTGATCTCTCCAAGGCCACACAGCTGTAGGTGGCATAGCTAAGTCAACCTCACATCTGTTGGCCCCACTATAAAATGATGCTGTCTCATTTGTTTTTTAGCCTTTGTTTTACTTCAGCTCTCATAAGGAATGAGCTCATGATTATTTCACTTTAGCAAGTATCCTTGTCAAAGCATGTTAAAAATTTAAATAAATTCTTGGTGCAGATCCTCCTTTGCGCACATATCTATTTATCCTTTCTGAGAAATTATTCACGCTGTAAAAGATTTTGTCTTTTATAAAGCATGTTGCTTAAACTTTTTATTATGTTTGTTCTTGTGTTTAGGGATTGTAACCCATGGGTAGTTAGAACCTGCTTTCCTGTGGCTATTTCCTTGGCCCTTGCAAGCTAGGAACACTTGCTGTTCATTAGTAAGAGAGTTGACAGTGGGTCCTCAGGAGCTATCACAAAGGAGACGAGGAATCAGGAGGTCCCTGATGGCTTCTCTTCTTCCTTTTCTCTGTACCTGTTGGTTTTTTTGGTACTCGATGGGCCTTCAGATATACACTGTCCTGTGTTGTTATGCTGATCCTTAGGGCCAAACAGATGTCCTAGCATGGAAGTCTGGGATATTTCCCATTTCAGAGGGAGCAGAGCTGTGGGGCACACATCTGCCTGTAGATGCTTCCTGAGGGAGAACAGATCTCTGTTCTTACCAGGTCTCTGCAGGTAACAGGCAGCAGGCAGCACTGGCAGACTTTGGAGTAGAGCCTTCTCGTTTCTCAGCCCCCCGCCTGAGTGCCAGGCATTGTACTAAGCACACTCCATACCTGGCCTTAGTTTCTCCTAAACAATGTCTTTATTTGGTAGGTTGTCACTTCCACTTCACAGAGGTCTCAGGCTCGGGGTCACTTGCTCAAGGACACACAGCTGATTTGCATGGTGTGGGTGCCACTCTTACCACTGCCCCTTAGTGTTCTGGGTTTCTTACTTCCATCAGATCTGTGCAAGGCTTATTATTTCCCCATGCTAGTTGAGTTTTACTACAAGTTCAGCCAAAACTGTGCTTTTTATCTCTCATCCCTTCAGTGTTCTGGCTCTAGCTGGTGATCCTGAGGCAAAGCCACACCCCCTCCTGCCATCCTTTGCAGAGCCCTGAAGCTTTAGTAAATGCAGGCTGGCTCAAAAGATTAGATCCTGAATTTTT